AACCAACGTATCGTCGATTTGCTAGAAAAGTGACACAACTGACGAATGTAAATTTTTCAGGAAACCCATTCAAAAATTTGATTCGAAAAGAAACGTTCCGAGACTTATCACTCTTCTAAGGAAACGACGATACGATATACAGACAATCTCATAAACCGATGAACGAAAGATAGAGTATACTCTTGTCTAATACTTTGCAGCAATACTCATTTTTAACTTTGAAAATTTCTCATTAAATACACACTAAATAATACATTTAAATAGACGTCGAAAAATATGGCGCTTCGCGTTCCCTACATCCTAAATACAGTCACGAAACTCGAAACTTCCAAGGAAGAACCACGATGTTGCCTCTCTCATTGGCAATAACTCATTCTCCACGAGTTTCTTTCGTTCGATAAAAGAACGAGAAAGGTCTTACGTTTCGTCGCAGTCACCAGGTCTGGTTAACGTGAAGTCTAACATCTCATCGGATGTTAAAAATCGAACGTCACTGTCCTCGGAGAGCGCGGATCCGTTCGTTCCTCGTTTGTACGTCTTTCTTCTTCTCAGCAGAACGATCCCGACCATTAGCGAGATCGAGACTCCTGTGAGGATCCCAACTACTATACCGATTATCCCTGGTAAACTGAATTTCGAGGAACCGCGATGAACCATCTCCGGATCCTGCACCCTCGCGTTTGGATCTGAAGAGAAACATTCTCGGTTTGGTCGTCGAATAGGCGTTACATTTCTTCGGCATAGGCAAAAGTTTGTAGAAATGGAGAGGTAGGGGTTTAACGAAATTTAACGGGAAGATGTGATTGTAAAACGTGGTAGTCGAGCAGAAGTAGTCAATATTTCAATGTGGATGTAAAAAGAATGATACGTTGTGATAGTAATGTTGATCACCAAATGGAATGTATAGAGCACAGTGAAATGAAAATTGATCTCAACGTTACAAGGTCTGGCTCCATTTTTCATTTATTTTGCATAAGATACCCTTTTTATGGATCACTTTTTGTAAATCATGATGTGAAAAGTCGGGGATTAGAAAATTGTGCTGTAAATAAGTTTAATTTTAAGAAGAATCTCTACGTTGATAATAATGTTGATTACCAAGTGGAATGTATAGGGCAGAGTGAAATGAAAATTTATCTCAAAATATAGTGTCTGGTTCCGTTCTTAATTTACCTAATTTTTTGAAAATCACAATGTGAAAAGTGGGAGATTAGAAATTGCGTTCTAAACGAATTCAATTTTGAAAAGAACCCCTACGTTGATAACAATGAAATAAAAATTTACCTCGTTCCATTTTTAATTTATTTTCCAAGGAAATATCTTTTTCGCGAATAATTGTTTCTAACTCGCGATACGAAAAGTGGAAGATTAGAAAATTGTGTTTCAAATATATTTCGTATGTTCCGGGCGATCCACGAATGTACACCATGAAGAAAGAAAAAGGAATATTTGTCAAACAATTGAATGAAAAAAAAATAAAGAAAATTCGAATTTCAAATATAGAAACCCAGTCGACCTAGATTTCCAAATGCCTGCGCATCCGATTCGCGGAATTCATCTGCAAATGGACACAAAGGGAACCCTGACACGTTCCTCGATCAAACAGGAGTGAAAGTTTCACGATCGAATGTGAACAAGAATTCGTATTACCAGGTTGCTCGTCCACTCGCGCGTATCTCCTGGCGACAGTGGTCCGTTGAACAAATGACGTCTCCTTTGTCTGGACAGTTTTCGCAGTTGAGACAGCCAGAGTGGTTTGTCCCGTACTTTTCGACGGTTTCCCGATTTTCTGCTTAGTTGTGCTCGTAACAGGCCTCGCTGTGGCCGTCGAAACAGGCCTAACAGTAGTTGCGGCAACAGATCTGACTGTGGTTGTCGTCGTGGGTGGCCTCAACGTGACAGGATCGATGTCGTCCTTTGGATTTATCGAGAAACCATTTCTAACAGTCGCCATGTCTGTTACCGTGTCATTTTTCGCGGGTGGAACCGAGGCAACCACATCGCGATTCGGAATGATCGATTGTTCCGTTGGCGTGGACCATTCCGCCGTGTACGCTGCGAATTAAAGGGTTCGCGTTAGGGTAAACAGGGGTGGGACGCGATAATTGAACGTGTACAAGTTTTCCCCGAGACACGGGAAAGTTGGAAGTTTTAGCGAAACTGTGAAATGAATGTAGAATGTCATTCTGCGATGTTGAATTATAGAAAAGTATTGGTAGCTGTTAAATTCAAACGGCAAGTATATTCAGTTGAAGTGTAATACTTGAAATGATTGGATTGTAGAAAGACATTGGTAGCTGTTGAAATCCTTGATACTTGGAATAATTGAATTGTAGGAAAGTATTGTTAGCTGTTGAATTCTTGATACTTTCTACTCGACACTCGATACTTTGAAAGAACAATTTATATTAATGACTTTCTTGCTGTATAATTGAATAGAATCTTGGTTCGGTATTTGTAGATACTGTTAACAGATATTTCAGGTACATGCTACCGATAAGAAGGATACAAGTTAAGTTAAGCTAACGAGTTTGCAAGTTGGGGAAACAAGACAAAGAGGAGCGAAAGAAACAAGTGGCTAAAGTAATTTTGATTTTGCGTGAAACGTGTTATATATGTACTCACTCGTAGTGGACTCACTCAGAACGCAGTACTCGGCGTAATCCGGACAGCACATCGAGTATTCGGCGCAATTGATGGTGCAAAGGCAGATCTCGGAGGTTGTATTATTGTACGTCACGCTATTTTTACATTTCCCGCGACAAGTTTGCTGCGCGTTCACCACTTCGACTTGATCTAAAAAGCATTTATATCGAGTCAAGAGGCGAAGAAATTCATCCACACTGTCGGAAATAGCTGCACACCACGCGGAAGAATGCTACAAACGACTGTGTTCTTTACTTAAAACATTCCTTTCAATTATTCTGTCGTCAATCACCAATATCCAGAGCTTTTGCTAAATCGGTCGTTGAAAATAATATTTGATAGAATCCATTCCGAAAGTGGACAGCGACTTGATCAAATTATTCTCTACTACGTGAAAACATGTAGGACAAACACTAATTTTATCGCGTACAGCGTTGTTCGTAAGTTCACATTAAGACACCCGTTATATTCGTACAGAAAGTATTAGAACTTACATTTCAATAACAGTTAGAAAGAACGCCTACACTTCCAAAATTACACTTCTCCGCTGAAGAATAATTCCATGCAGTATCTTAATAACTTTTTTAATCGCTCTTTAGGTTTGCTTCACATTCAACGAGCGTCTTAATGCTTATGAACAGTACTTTTTAGTAGACACAAAATAATCTTTTTACGCAGAGTTGCTTCTAACAGTTTTGAATTGGCTTAACAACTGAGGACAGTTGAAAGAAGTGCACGTTGAGACGAAAGTGTATCCGAATAAAAGTGGGGCAAGAAAATGGTTTTCAAGGGAAACGGAAATGTATTCTAAGACGTCACGCGTTCTTTTTTCTTCCTTAGAAACAACAATCCAATTGTACAAATTACCTTCGTAACCCTCGGTGGTCCAGTCCGTTTCTGTTTCGTCCACACCTTTACACTTCTCCCCCTGCAAAATGGCCAGGTCGTCGATGGCGATGTCACTCACGTAATTGGTGCCACGCACACCCTCGATTATGATCTGGAAAGGAGCGAGGACAAATTTAGTAAGACAAAAATTTCTCAAGTCTCGTATGTTTCTCCATTACCTGAAAACCTTTGTCAACCTTTGGGAAATTGAACATTCCGTGCAACCATTGGTTACCTTGGTCGCCCTCTTTGTGGAACAACTGTCGAGGAACCAGATCCTTTTCCGGTTTGAAGTAGATGTTCAGAGCGCCCACTGTGGCTCCGTACATGTGATACCTGAGATTCGTTGGCGGATAAAAGAACAATTATTGAGAAAGGAAATGAAAGAAAAAATGATCAAAATTGTTGAGATAACACCAAAGTGGTAATTTTGGACTTTAAATGGACTGAAAGTTTGTCGAACATAATTTTCAATGTAGACGACAGATTATAAAAATCAGAGAAAAGAAGGAAAATTTAAGATCGCTCTGAAATAATGTACGACATAAAATCAACTGAAGTGTGTTAAATATCATTTTCGTTGGCAATTTATAAAAATCACAGATTGAAAGAAAAATTTGAGATCGTTGTAAAATAATATAGAATATAAAATCGATCGCATGTGTCAAATATAATTTTCGACGCGTTAGAAAATTATAAAAAATAAGTGAAAAAAAGAGAAATTTAAGATATCTGTAAAATAACATGTATTATAAAATTTCAAAATTTAACGTTAAATTAATGTCAAATCTCTGAAAATTTCATGATAAATACGAGATGTCAATTATTTTGTATTGTAGTTAATAATGATGTTTTTCGAGAAAAAATTTTCATTAATTTGCAACAATATTAAACTATAGTAATATCACGAAATACAAGAGCTGTATTACGAGTGAAAATTCGATAAAATTATCCCACTTTACTGTCTCCGTTCCTGTAACGAACGCGTTTACCCCGTTCCAACACGTGAAATCATAATTCAAATGATGATCGAGGGCACGATCGTTCTCTAATGAACTTCGAGCCCGTAATTATCTGACCTATAATACCGACTAACGTAGAAATTATCCGTCGAAAGGCGTTTTTTTTTTTTTCTCTCGATGAACCGTAATTTTCATTAGTCGTTGGCCTGCCATTTATAGATTTCTTTTTGTTCCTCTCACGTGCGTACACGTCGAAATGGGAACGATACTTAACGTTTCCCTCGAGCTATAGTGAATTCTTTTTCTTTAATACGTCTTTATTTTATATAAACACGTATTCCTCTGCAAAATGGAAAAATAAAAGCGTCAATCGTGGCGAAAACTCGCTTCCTTAATTTTCAACCTAGTTAATCTTCGATCTAGTTTCGGTTATCTCTTATACTTGGAATATACGTAGAAATTGAGGTACATCGTTACCAGAATGAAAAGCAACCCGATTCTGTGTACGAGGCGTTGTAGATGGGAGAGATGATTCTTGCGGTGTCGTTTTCTAGCCGACCAGAAGCTTCGATATACAAGTAAAAACCTGGAAGAGAGAGGATTGAATGTTGAATTTTTGGAAATTCTGAAGGAGCTTCGACGTGAAAGATTTAGTAAGTTGAAGTGTGTAAATGCAGAAAAGTATTGACATTTGGAAAGTGAAACACTGCAAAAGTGTACCAATTTTGTGAAATTCTGAAAGTCTTTCGAATAAAAAATTTCGTAATTTAAAGTGTACAAAATTCGGGAAATTCCGAAAATCTTTCGAGGGAACAATTTCGTAAGTAAAAGCGTAGAAATTTTGGAAATTATGTACGACTTTCAAGTGAAAAATTTCACAAGTAAAAGTAAAAGAAAAACACCTGGCAGCACTTTTAGTCAAAACTTAAACGATTCAAAATGGAACGCAAAAATTAAGTTTAAAAATAGAATCTGCAATTTTCATTCACAAAATTCAATTCAACTCGAAGTATCCGAAAACTAGTAAAAAGTCTAAATACACAAACCCACAACAACTTTTCACTTTCTTTCTATTTTATCCAATACAAATCATTACTTCAATCGCTAATTTTATCGAACACGAATCACGAAACGAATATATCAGGTGTAGAAATGAATTCTTTCCGACCTCTAGGGACAATCAATGTTTCATTTAAAAAGAACAAGAACAGATCAATCGTCGAAATAATTTCTATTATTGTTGATGACCTTATGCTATTTTTCTGACAGATAACGAATACCATCGCGATAGAAACTCGATGGCTTTCAATCAATTATGTGAATCCAGTCGGAAAGAATTCATTTCTACACCTATTATAACAGTGAAATTTTACGTAAAACAAGAAAATAAATACCGTCATTCCCTGGTCCCAGAGTGTGATCATGAGTCGGCCCAGTTCCTATATGAGAGCTCGGCGTCTCGAAGTTGTGTCGCCGCCAGTCGAAATCATGCTCAGGATCTTGTTCCCACCAACAAAGATCGGGTTTTTCAAAGTCGCACTGCGTCGGTGCTGTCGCACGTGTGTCTATTTAAAAATCACGTATTCCCGTTTAATTCGTTCCAATAATTTACCGTGGCGTTAACCCCTTGACTTATAGCAACCAGTCAGACTCGTGGCAGAGATTCTGGTCAAGATGTGAGAAAAATAGTTGTATCAATAAAAAAAATTAATTTTAATCCTAATTTTCGTTTTAATTTCGAAGACTGAGGATTGCTGGATGTAATTAATCTATAATACCTCAGCTTTTCTTACTTAAAATAGTACTGAAACAATAAATAGCCGACGCTTAGACGCATAGTCAGGAAAAGAAATCATACGTCAAGGGGCTAACCTATGATTTCCTATCTGTCTATACATCTAAGCGTCAGCCATCTACCGTTTTAGTACTGTATCAGGTAAGAAAAGTTAATCTGTTACAGATTAATTACGTTTATCAATCCTCAGTCTTACGAATTCCAAACGAAAGTTAGGATTACAATGAATTTTTCTTAATAATATAACTATTTCTCTCACATCTTCACCAGAATCTCTGCCACGAGTCTGACACGTTGCCATATGTTAAGGGGTTAATCAAATTCGTTTCTCTGCGTTAGTTCAATCTCTGTTCGATCGTTTCACCGTTAACGTAGGCGTGATTATTCGAAACGAACGGTGAAATGATTCGGAAGATAGGAGAGAGGCGGAGAAAGAAGGAAAAATAAATTACCCCGACAATGTGGTGTTGTGCCATTCCATTGCCTTCCGTCACAAAAAATCTCCGCCGGGCCAATTAAAGCGTAGCCCGGTTCGCAGAAATACATCAGTATCGCGCCGTTGTACTTGGGCGCCATCAACGCATGCTCAGGCAAGGTGGGCACGGGGCATACTGCGTCTGTTGGCACAGAACAATTAACGAAATCACTGGTAATGCTCTTACAGTTACCTGGAAGCAGAAATCTGAAACGAAAAGCTTCCACGAAGGTTTCGTGTCAAACGGAAATTGCGATTCGTTCTCGTTTCTGCCGCTCGTTTGCCAAATTGGCGAACTCCGCGAAACAACAAGTAGAGAAAATTCGTGAAAAATATTAATATTAATATTAATACTTTTTATACCGTTGCAGTAAAAAATTACTTAGCTAAATTCTTGTAAACGTTTGAATTACATTATTGCAACGATTTACTTTAGAGTATGAAGTTAATCGCGTTGACTTCTGAAATAAATGATCTATTACTCAAGGACCATCGAAATTTTTGTCATTTAGCGGTGTTAAGAGTAACTGTTAAGGAAATTTATTTTAAATATAGAAAGATAAGCATCGATCAAGTGCTTTGGCACTGAAATTGCAAAAATCTCAAAAAATGGAGTTAACCACTTTGGCAGGTGAACGGCTCATTCGTCGTTCGTAATTGCGATCGAAAGATCTACATACGTGTTTATTATTTTCTACGTAAGATGTACAGGATGTCTTCGAACTGATTGGTGAAACTCAACCAAAGTAATATTTTTTTCATACAAAGCTTCGTTTTCGAATAAATCGAAAAATTCGAGAAGATATCAGTGGAAACTATCTGCATTGCTTTTTGGGTTTATCGTACTAAATAGCGAAGAATAGGCAATGAAATAAAAGCAAGAACTAATATTTACTATTAAATTAATTTTGATGGTAAAATAGCTTGGTTGATGGATTTCTACTTATGGATCCACTTCAGCACCACAATAATTGAAAGAGAAAATTACACTTGTGAACGTTCACAGAAGCTTCATATGAAAAATTCGTTTGCTCTACATTTCCGACTTATTCTTTCATATAAATTCCAAGACACCCTGTATAGCTATGTAGTTAGACAAGATTGTCACAGAAATTTTGTAAATTTATCGTAACTATTATCATGGAAATATTTTTTACAATTTACATTTTTATATTTAATATTTTATAATTCACAACTTCAACCCTTTGACTCCCAATTTGTTTCTACATAGTTATTATTTATATACAGTGTGTGAAGTAAGAAAAGCTAATGTATTTGTACGTCCTTTATAATTTGATAATTTTCAGTCTCACAAATTCAAACGAAATTTGGACTGAAAATTAATCTAGCCTCTTCTTCACCAAAAATCTGTACCACGAATCTGACACGTTTTTCCAAGGCAAAGGGTTGAGTGACATTTCGATCGAATCGCGTTAAAAGCGGAAAATTCTCCGCAATTAACAAACGAAAGAGAATATGACATGAGATCGACATTGTTACAGTTTTATCAAGAGCGATTAGAATGCTTACTGACGCATACGGGTGTAGGTGTATCCCATTGGCCTCGAATACAAGTGGAATACTTGTTACCTATGAGAGTGAAACGATCGTAACAACTAAATCTGATGATTTTTCCTCTGCCCCTTGTCCGAACTCTGCCGTTCACCAGCTTCACTATGGGACATCTGCCTGTGGGACGAAACCATAAATTAAATCAGCCCAATTGTCCAATTTCGCCGTGGAAAAAGAGCTCTCCACGTGGTAAATTCAATTGTAAGTTGAAGACGAGACGTTTCGTTGTCGATATAGCGAGAAGAAATGACGATATTATGTGTTATTAAAAATAGAAGAGAACGTAATTAAGAAAATAAAATAAAACGAAGTGAAATACTCTTCTCTTTTTATTTTTACACTAATTACGAAACAAAAAGAAGCGATATCTGTCGACGGAAGAAGAAGAAGAAGAATGGTGAAAGAATGTATCGGAGAAAATGAAGAAATGTTAATTGACTGATAAAATAGTAAAATTATTGAAATGATCTGAAATGAAGTAACGTTGAAATCTCTTATATTTCAATTGTATCCTCGTTGTAACCGTGAAAGAGAAAAGTTTTCCTTTTCTTCTTCGCTGGGAATTTAAACATTCTCTGCCTGTAACAGTACACCTCGACAAATGCTGCGTGTAATATTCAGTATTATACGCGCTGGATTGAAATCGATAAGCCAGATGAAATTGGATTTTAATTCCTGCTCGACGAGGAAACCTTTCTCGCCTTGTTTCCTCGTCGTAGAAATTGCCGTGAAAAAAAAAAAAGAAGAAAAGAAGAAGCGAAAGTAGCCTCTTACGCTTGGAAACTAATCTTATGAAGCAAATCGTACAAAGAGTTCAAGAGTTTCTTCCTTTCAATTCCATAAACAATTAAGATACTGTCTACAATCGGATAAAATGTTTCCCTCCTCGAAGGAACGAAGAAGAAAACAACCGTTATTTTTCGATAAAGTTTTGGAACGACGTTAATCGGCTTACGAAGTAAAATCTCGTTATTTCTATATTCGTACAAGCAAAACCACGGAAATGCAATACCTGGATTCGCCTTTCCTTCACTTTTTACGATAAAAATAAATAAATACTCGAGTGTCTCTTGACATCGATGAAATACTAAAGAACAAAAGTTCCTCTCTACTTTTCTTCTCAATGACACTTCTACATATACGTAAATTCCACTCTACAAAAGAGAAGCTACCAAGTAAAAAGTAATGATTCGACAATCAGCATCTCTTCTATTTCTTCGAGAATACAAATTTTACACACAATGAACAGTACAACGAATATTTTAACAACGGTAACATACTATAAGAAGCTTTTCTCTATTTTCCTTCTTCTCTTCTTGATAACACTTCTACATATACGTAAATTCCACAGAACCAAAAGAATGGCTAGCAAATAAAAAATTAATTATTCAAAAATCAACATCTCTTCTTTTTCTTCCAAAATACAAATATGACACTCGATAAACAACTCGATGAACTCTGACCTGGCAAGGGGCAAACGACGCATTGCGCCAAGATAGCCAGCAGAAGAAACGGCGCCGACAAGGATATCTTCATCCTAAGAACGTTTGCTTCCTAAGGTAACAATTCACCGTACTCATAACTCGTAAACCAGATCGAAGAAGACGAGGTTCCTCTTCGCGAACTTTTCCTTATTCAAATTCTCTTGCACACATTGGGGGGAGCAGCACTGAAGAAAGAAAAGATTATCGAATGGTGAACGACGAACCGGCGATGACTGAAGAAAAGACGAAACATGAAAAGGCGACACGCACTGGACGAAGAATAAAAAGTAAAATCGACTGTCGATCCTTCTACATCTATGAACAAAATAGGGATGCTGTATTTCGGGGATACTCCGTCCCGAATGGAAGGCGGGAACATCACTTCCGCCGACTCGCGCGCGATAGCCTTCTATCTGTTTCCGGCCAGCGTTATCGCCGTTGAACATTGCCAGGCCTTGAGGAGAATTCCGAACAAATTGCATTTTGCGTCGGAGATAAATGAATTCCAAGAAAGAAACACTGACCACCTCTGATTAGACCACGTCCTGGCGCCAGGATTCTTTCCTTTTTCCTTTCACGTTAACACCACGCACCGTACCTTTAAACCTCTGGTGCTCTTTGTAAGTGAAACATAAGATGAACATAAGGTATCGCAAGATTTAGACAAAATATTACATGACACTGTATTTATATTATAAAACAATACTTAATAATAGTTTCCCGAGTAAAACGTTGTTTAAAGTCATTCGTGGTAAAACATTACGGAGCACTTCAGTTTTATTAAAAAAACAATATTTAGTAACAATTAGGTAAATAATATAATTGTATATATACAAGAAATTACAACGAATGGATAGATGTAGAATTGGGAACATTTTGTCTTCTCCGTAAGAATATATTCTGTTGTACTTGTGAGGTCGAGTTTTTGTTGAGTTTCTTAATGGTTAGAGAAATCCATTCTGCTATTGAACAGTGATTTGAACGTGACCAAAACTTTATTGTGGTTCTCGTTTTTTTTCGATCTTGTTGACAGTGGTTGAACGAACGTCCTTTCGAAATTTGTCATTATGTCCAACTGTTTCGAAGAAGTGCCTCTGTTAAAATACTCGGTTTCAGATTGCAGCGTTTTGTCGAAAATAAATGTTTGTTTAATTCGATTCATAGCTTCTTCTGTAAGAAAAAAAAAGATATTGGCGTTACATCAAAAATGTTAACATTTTTTTTTTATTTTGTGAATAATGAAAAGAAGTTGTCATGAAAAAGTATTCACGAGACTGAAATCCACTGATGACGGAAAATGAGTAACAGGCAGGCGGAAATAAAAATTCACGTGGGCCGATAAATCCAGACGAAATTAAAATAACTCGTATCGTGTGGCGAGAATAAAAAAAAGATAGAACAAGTATACCAATGGAGAGGAAGTTTCAGAATTAGCATGACCATCCTTTCTGTAGAACAGAATGACTCTACACTTACGTTCGTTTTCATGAAGAACAAAATTGTCGAAGGCACTCAAGTTTCTCATGAACAAATGAAACGAATCCTCGATTTCTGACAATCTAATTACAAAATCAGGGTCACATATCGCCAAGTGAGATAAGAATCTTATTCCGTCTCTCAATATCTTCGACTGCCTCCTCTTCATAGTTGTCCAAGCATTTTCATCCGAAAATTTATCTTGATATATATCGCGTATACACATCTTACTTGTTCCTATATAAAAGACAGAGTGTTTGGCACAAATACTCTTCAAGTTGCATGTATCTTTCTTTGGTACAGGAAAATTGTCAAAATTGAAATTTCCCAGGGCAGCCAAATTTGCCTCGGAACACTTGGACATAGTTTTAATGGTGAATCTCAATAATTTCATGCAACAGTTACAAGAATTCAAAGTTTCAGATCTCAAGGAAATAATGTCCGTGTGTAATATGTACTGCACAAATTGTAACAATATATCCGTGGTATCTATTGCAGCTATTATGTCAAAGTGATAATTCTCGACCTGCGCTAAAAATATTTGCAACGGACAAGCATCTAAAAGGAAAACACAGTTATTCGTGGAATGAAATTATTATTTCTTTAAAAAATCTGTTTTTGTTTTACCTGGAGTAAAATGCAGAGAACCTTTCCAATTGTTTACCGCCATTGATTCTATAAAGACAATAATAGCGTCAATATAACAATGTTTTAAAGGCACAACCACTGTTGATGTTAGGATAAATTTAATTAGTCTAATCTCTTGTTTATATTTTATTGTATTTAAGGCAATAAAAGTAAATCATAGATAAATACAAAGTAAGAGTGAATTATGCGGTATTACGGGAAGATAGATTAGTGATGAAAATTAAATATAGAGATTTATTGACTTCTCGTTAACACATATTATAAATATTCATTATTAATATAAATTATTAATGTGACAAATTACATACGTGAATTAACACAAAGTTTTCGCAAGTACGTCGAGGATTTTACAAAAATCAGCATTATATTGCAGAGCAGAGTATAACAATATGGCAAAGGTCTAGCAAACACTATTTCCTTAAATATCCGATAGATATACTCCATTCTGAAACATGAAACTTTCAGTAAAAGGAAAAGTATATTCTAAAAGCAATAACTAATTTTTAAAAAGTGATATATTTGCATACCCCTCGGAACAATATTCGACTTTTTTATGTACATTGCAAATAATCATCATAATTGCACATATAAGACCACTAAATTGATGGGATCTTCTCTAAAAGTAATAAAACATTAACATTAACAAAAATTTATTTTCTTAATTATTACATTATTTAACTTACCGTAGATCCAACTAAAATAACAAATTGTAATAACATTTCAAGTATCTCAAATTTATGGTGTTTCTTCGACCACGTATTATAATGAACCATTTGGCATGAATAACATTTATAATATTCATCCCTTTCCGTAAGCAAACACGTTTTTCCTGCAATATGCTTGCTGAGATAAGTAGATTCCAAAGTTACGTACGACAACAAGCCGAATATTCTTCTAGTTTCAACGCCACGTTCATATTCGTGCCATGCACTCGCAGAACACACAGATTTTCCATTGAAATCAGAACTCGAGTACAACTCAGAGAAATAGACATCGTTCATGTCTCGAATATCGTCATTTTTCATAGCTTGAAAAATCGTTTGGAGAACGATTATTATATTGAGGAGCAGTTCCCTTGAAGTAGAAACTAACTAAAATGTAATCAACAAATTTATTTATTATTGAATAAGGCAATTCAATTTATATATAAGTAAGACAATTTACTTTGTTTATTATTGGTATAGTATTTTCCGCCTCAAGTTCTGAGTTCGTCTTTCGCTGAAGAGCAGCTATTTCCGGAAAAATGTACTCCACTGTTAATCTCTTATCGTCTATTATGGTCGTTACAGGTTTTACCAATTCTGGATTTTCTATACCAAATACACAAATGTAATTAAGTTCTGTATAAAATATAAGGCATTAAGTAAACAATTTTACCAAATATTCTGAATGTATTTTCTTCTTGTAAAATGGGCAAATTTCGTCGACCAACTTTTTCTATAATTTGAATATCGACTATAGGTTTTTCCGGTTGTGGTAGATCGTATATTAATTTAGGAATTTCTGCCAGAGGGAAATCTGCAATATGTTTTCTTTAAGTTTATTATTTAAAATTTTAAAAAAAAATCAAATTAATATTTTCTTCACGTTATACTCTGCTTACATGGATTCCAAATTCTAAGAAAATGACTGCTTTTATTATGCACATTTGCTTGAACACAAGCTTCCCTGACCTTTATTGATTTCGTGGATGAAATCAAGGACCTAAAAACAATGATATGAAAACATATTCTGATAAGTATTTAAATAAACACATACTTGAAAAAAATATTTCCAAACTTTACCGATTTACTGGTGAGTTACATTTGTTTCTATTTACAAAAGTATTAAAATTTATAGAATGTGGTTCTGTTAATTTAACATTTCCACTTTCTAACAGTTTACAACGTTCCAGTAGATTCCCTACTTCAAATGCCTAGAATCAAAAGAGAAATATAAATGTAGTACATAAAATTAAATTAAAAAATGACTTCATTACTCAGAAATTACTAACTTGTAATTCCAGTTGTGTTTTTAAATGTTCCTTCTCTTTACATATAGCATTAATTTCTGTTCTATGCCGATTTTCTTGTTGTTCAATGAAACGCGTTTTTTCCAATTTATCATTTTCTGCTCTCAACTGAGTCTGCTGCAATTGATTACGTAGAAAAACAGCTTCTCCTTCTTTAGTTATAAAGTCATCTAACAATTTTTTATTTTCAGATTTTAACTTCTCCAATTCTTTTGCATATACTGGTTCTGGTTCTGAAATTATAGATTATTCATTAAACTGATATAAATCATATCTTTTCAAGATATGGTGTCATTGTTACCTATAATAGTATCATCTAGTTTAAATGTTGAATTATATACTTTTTTATTCACTAATTTATCCTTAAATTCTTTGTAATTAACAGAAACTATCATGCTTGTATCTTGTGAATCTTCTATTTCTTTTCTTTGAATATTGCATTTTGACATATATAAAGACCTTGATATCTTACTACTATTACCATTTATAGTTTTACTACTGGATGGTACAGTATTATATCGTTGCATACATGATACATTTTTGTCTCTGTTTAATTGAGTCAACTCATTATCTTCCTGAAAAAGAGATAGACACCATAAATAATCAAAAAGTTGTGCCAATAACTTAACACAAGAGAAATGGTTAATATGAACAAAACCTGTAAGCAAGCTTGAGAAGCCACAAAATCCATTTCTTCTATATCCGCTTCAGCAAAATCAGCTCCCCAAATATCATCAGACCTTCCATTCCTTTTATTTGCTGATTCTCTATTATTTATGGAAACACCCTTCAAAGTTCCTCTCTTAGTATCATATTTTGGTCGTTTGGCAGGTAGAGAGTACTCACTCTCTCTGTTACTTTCTGTTCGCTTAAACATTTTAACTTATTTCAACTATAATACTGTGCAATATAAAAAATGAGTTTAATATCTCCCCTTTCAAAATTTTTTATGCACATTCAATTGAAATTATTTACATGATTCACATCAATAATTTCACATCATTTCACTTTCAGTTCCAGGAATTCAAAGAATATTATTGCAAAATTTCATCTCTTTTTTACGGAGTGCAAATTCATTCTAACGCAGCAAATATATTACGATTTCTGCTGTAGTTTGATAGTGTAAGAATATTATGAAAATCTGACGAGCAAGTAAAAATGTTGCTCTTCATGATACACGTATGACCCTTATGAAAACCTGTCAGAGTAATTAGAAAAACAAAAATTCATTTCTATTTAAGTGTATGACAGAAACTTTGTTTCAAAACGTGCTAATACAAATAATCATTTATCTCACTGAGTATTTGTGTTACCAACATAAATGCGTAATTTAAAGACTATGGCACTAGTTACATAGTATGTCATACTAGTTTTTTTTGTCTGCATAAACAAAACAAATTTGTATTCATTCACCGGCTGAGTTTATGATTACGTAATAACTGTTCGTAACAACTGCGTGTTATTTTTTTTTGAAAAAATTCTCTTATATTACTTGATAGTACAATCTAAAAAAATATGTAACTACTCGAACCGTATTTATAAATATCATTCGATACTACGTTTTATCATCAAATATCAGTTACTACAAAATCAAAACAATTTAGCGATAACGTTATGTAAAATTAAACAATTTGTATGTCTTCTGAACATGAAAATAATTAGTTTTAAATGGCAAAAATACTTAAATGTCATTATCTGAAGTACACAAGATCAAATAAAATTTTAACACATAACACTGGTTTAATGATATATAATATATTTACCGATATAATTAATTTACGAACGCATCATAGTATTTTCTTTATTGAAATTTCAGTATTATTGTATCATAGATTACATATGTAAAATATTCATGTTACAACAAATTAGGAATGATATTTGAACTCATATTCAAATTGTAGTAGTCCTAACATGGTGTATCTAATAGTAGTTTGTATTGTATTTAATATTACATGAGAATGGGTAATGTATGTTTAGGCTTTTGCAATGCCAACAACACCACAAGCAAGACGAGCACCAGCATTTCCTGTGGTTTTTGATAACTCATGGCCACCTTTACCAAGGTCATCTGGATCAGCATGAACCTGTTATCACAAAAAAAAAACAAATTTCATTTATATAAATGAAGTGATAAATGCAGCATGATTAATTATAGAAGTTTGTAAAAATATATTATGCTATATCTTACCACAAGAGTTCTGCCAATTATGCTGTTTGATCCTTGAAGTTGGATTATTTTGTCAGTTATTTTAACATTGGCAACACCATCTGCACCTGCTTCAACATTTCCTAAATCTCCAACATGACGAACACTTGAATCAGGGGCACCATGGTCCTTTCCTAATGGATTGAAGTGTGGACCTGCACTTGTACAACCTGCCAAATATATGAAAACAACAATACAGTGCCTCTGAAATTTTTTCACTGCAGCTTAAAGATTAGTTACAAAATAAGTATTAGTAATAAAATAAATTTTAAACAGAATTCAAACATATTAATACAATAGCATCAATTAGTTTATGTAATACGCAAAAACCATTTTTAAATTGTCCGAATAAACAGGAATAAATTGCGTGCTTATTCTCTGTTGACCTCTAAACTAGAACTTTCGAGTATCAAGATTTTCACATATTCATTTTTTATGTTAGTTAAATAGTACTTCGTTGTTAAATCTTTTATAGCAGTTATGAAAAATGATAATATATCCCGCCAATAGTACATACCATTAGTGTTATCGCCAAATTCGTGAATGTGAAAACCATGCAATCCTTGTTTCAAACCGGTTACTTGACCCGTGACCTTCACCGTCTCACACTTGTCCTATTCGACAATTATATTGTGAAAAATAAAAATAAAACGCTATCACATGGAATTCTGTAGTATTAATTAAAAAAAAAATCATTTACCGGTTGTTCGAAGAAGAGAGTGCCTTTGGCATCACCCTGAAGAACGCACACGGCTTTAACCATTGTCAGAAGTTTCTCGACTATACGCAATGGCAAACGTTACTAAAGTGTAACACCCCGGCAACAACTACTGTTAAGTTACAAAATGTAATTATCGTTTTGCTGAATCACGAACGCAAATTTGCTGACGTATTGTGTATCGAGCACATCGGCTGATAAAACAATGATCCTACCGTTTAGTTGAAGTAATGGCGTATCACACGAAGTTGCAATCAATGACCATTGACGAACTTAAATGCACGATGAGCACAGAAATCATCTGAGGTTAGACGAGAGGAGAATATGAAATAATTTCTTAGTTTAGAATTCGTGCTCAAGGTGGCGTACTTATTTATTTATTAATAATCACTGGTGAA